CTCATTTCTTCATCCCTTAGACAAGCAGATGAAAAATAACTTTCTGAATCCACCCAGGAATCAGCTCATTCAGATCATATCAATTGCTAATAGCAAAAATACAGAAACTTACACATCAATTTTCCTTTAATTATACAGAAAGAGTCGGTGGCTCATACCTGTAATCCCAGCACTTTGGAACCACTTGAGGTCAGGAGTTTGAGACCAGTCTGGGCAATATATCAAGAGTCCATCTCTTAAAAAAAAAAAAAAAGGCACAGATAGAATTTTAATTTTTAAAGATAATGTATAGTTTTGTACCATACAGCCCAGGAATATAACCTAGACAGATAATTCCTACACATAAAAAATATTTCCTTCAGTCAACGTAATAATCATAAAGTGGTTTCCATGACATCCATTTTCAGATTTTTGTATTAGGCCCAATTCACAATTTGAGTACAGTTTTCCTATTTTTATTGCCAACACATTGAGTACATCTATTTCTCACTGTTTAAATCAGAGGGAGAAATTTCATCTATGATTATTTATTTTCACTCTTTAATTTTAATTCATGTGCCCCTGGAGAATACATCTTTTGTATGATTCTGTTTCCAAAACCCCAAGGAAAACAGAAGACAAGATGCTATTGGTTTAGGTCCTTTAAAAGGTTATTCAGAGGGGTCTCTCTTGAACTTTTGGTTTTTTTTGTAAGTCATATTTCAAGTCTTTGATCTTGACAACCCTGAAATATTACCTTACAATTACATCATAAGTATGAAATGACTTTTGTTGGCTAGTGACATGATTTTTTAAAAGTTTCTACTAAATACAGAAATATTACAGTGAAAGGATGTCAGAGTATTTGAAATGATTAGTGACGGTATTAAAATTCCCAGTATTGCTATATATTATGCCCCTGGGAAATTTAGTATATTTATGATCAGGCCTTCAGTAGTCTGGACTTTTTTTTTCTCCTTTTAAAAGTAATTGGTAATTTCTTCTTTTAGCCTTTTCCACATGCTTTGCCATTACTTAAAGACATGCAAGCCATTGCCTTTTTTTTTTTTTCCAGCAGGGAAATAGCTAACATTCACACAAATGTCAGTAGATCAACTGAATGAAATAAAATCTTCTCAAACATTTATTAATTCAATAAATGTTTACTGTAGAGTCATAACATACATGATACAAATTCAACTATGTGCCTTGGCTCTTCTCACCCCCCACCAAAAAGAAAGAGAAAGAAAAAAATAACTCTTTCAATAGTGGCTGTTCCAATCACCCATCCACTCGGTGACTGAGGTCCCAGAGCTGGCAAGAAGAGGGACATGGACCCACTGTCAGCTCAGCTAGTCTTACTCTTTGTGCCTCCCAGAGGTGAGGCTGCATGTGAAGCTAGAATCTTAAAAAGTAAGTGATTAGGGTACATCAGGGGCTGTAAATAAGTGCCGACTGATTCATCTGGTTCCCAACCAAAACAAAACAAAATAGCGATCTGATCCATTGTTGGTGTTGGAGAAAAACCTAGCTGTGTTGAACTTAGTGAAGGATATTACTTTACTTTATAAGCCATTGGAGAGGCAGGGGCTGGGCACAGTGGCTCACGCCTGTAATCCCAACACTTTGGGAGACCAAGGCAGGTGGATCACCTGAGGTCAGGAGTTTGAGATCAGCCTGGCCAATATGGTGAACCTCCATCTCTACTAAAAAAAAAAAAAATATATATATATATATATATGTGTGTATATATATATGTGTATATATATATATATATATATATACACACACACACACAAAATTAGCCAGGTGTGGTGGCAGGTGCCTATAATTCCAGCTACTCAGGAGGTTGAGGCACAAAAATCACTTGAACCTGGGAGGCGAGGGTTATTGCAGTGAGCCGAGATTGTGCCATGGCACTCCAGCCTGGGTGAGAGTGAGTCCGTCTCAAAAAAAAGCCATTGAAGGGATTTTCCAAGGTTAATCTTGACTGAAAATTTTATTTGTGCTACCACTCATGGTAGATGCTCAACACAATGTATCCAATAAAGTACATCTGCTGTATACTGGCTCTATGCTGTATACAGAAGAAAATTCCTGACCGCTTAGTGGGCATTTTGTAGACCTGAAAAAAGATTATCCGTACAAACATACCTATACATATACATATCTAACTTGAGAATGAGCCACATTTTTGTAGAGTGGGCCACTCTTGACATGTCCTTTTCTTTTGTTTTGAGACAGAGTCTTGCTCTGTCACGCAGGCTGGAGTGCAGTGGCCCGATCTCTGCCCACGGCAACCTCTGCCTCCAGGGTTTAAGTGATTCTTCTGCCTGGGCCTCCTTAGTAGTGGGATTACAGGTGTCCACCACCACACCCAGTTAATTGACATGTCCTTTTCTAGCCTAATAGTTTAACTCATATTTACTTATCAGGAACTGTGAGTATGTCAAATGATATAAATTAAAAGGCGGAGATGAGACAGAAATTTATATTTAATTTCTCTTTTTAGAACTAATTATTGCTACAGTTGGAAATTTTGTTATTTTTGTTGATGGTGGTGGTGGTTTTTTAGAACAAGCTAGTGATTTAAAAACAATGTAGCCAAGTACAGTGTGGCACACATGGATAATCCCAGCACTTTGGGAGGCTGAGGCAGGTGGGTCATAAAGCTCAGGAATTAAAAACCAGCTTGGGCAACATGGTGAAAACCAGTCTCTACAAAAAATGCAAAGATTAGCCGGGTGTGGTGACACACACCTATAGTCTCAGCTACTCAGGAGGCTGAGGTGGGTAGATCACTTGAGCACAGGAGGTCAAGGCTGCAGTGAGTCAAGATCATACCACTGCACTCTAGCCTGGCATGTGAGACCTTGACTTAAAAAATAAAAAATAGGCTAAGCATGGTGGCTCACACCTATAATTCCAGCACTTTGGGAGGCCAAGGTAGGTGGATCACTTGAGGTCAGGACTTCGAGACCAGCCTGACCAACATGGTGATACCCCATCTCTACTAAAAAAAATACAAAATTAGCTGGTGTAGTGGGGAATGCCTGTATCCCAGCTACTTGGGAGGCCGAAGCAGGAGAATCATTTGAACTCAGGAGGCAGAGGTTGCAGTGAGCCGAGATCGCATCATCACACTCCAACCTGGGCAACAAGAGCAAAACTCCATCTCAAAACAATAAATAAATAAATAACAAATAAAAACAAGTGTAAGCACGGAGAGCTTATTTGCTGATCACTGTGCCACATTAGCCACTGGAAGGCTTTTATCTTCAACATGTATAACATGTATATATTGTTTAGTCATGAGCCATAACATCAAACATTGGCTGATGCATATGTGCTGGATTCTGCGAATTGCTTCCCTGGCCCCAAACAGTCTCAGCTGCACCAAATCTGGAATGCATCCTGCCAAGTATTTCCCCCCTAATGGTTTTAACATGGGATATTTTCAGGAAAAGCTAATCCACCCGTTTCTAATTCCATTGCAGTTTGCCCCCTTCAGATGCTACCTTGCCCAAGCTAGTTCTATCCCCCCACAAAAAAATACTTTTACTTCCTCTTTCAGGGTTTCACTACTTTGCAAACAGGTGGTCCATCCAACAGCTGCCCACGCCCTCCCCCTAAACTCATGTTTGATTCAAGCTCAGAAGAAGCCTTTTTTAAGCACTCAGACTCCCCGAGAGGTTGGAAAGCGTACCACCCCGGGATCAGGAGGAGAGAACTGGGAAGCAAACACTGAACTTTCTCACAACTCAAACCTAATCCTTCCCTCTCTCCTTATAGATCAAATGGAAATTGCAAAGGTTATATGCAATAACTCATTCAAGCTGACCTTTTGAGTTTAAGAGAAACTAGGGTGACAAGATAGAAGTGTGGCTTTTAGACAGAGGGCCATCCTGCCTGGGGACATCAATAGATCTTGCTTGGTAGCTTTATTTTAGAACTAGAAAGAATGGCAGGAGAAGCAATGAGCATCCTCATTAAAGCTGATTTAGTGGAGATTGAAAATCCTCCTTTCCTCTTTGGTATCACCCAAGTCACTCATGCCAATTTGTGAAGCTGCACATCATTATTTTAATTGTCTGCAGCCCTTGGGTATGTTTTAATCATCTCAGCGGCCTGTCGGCTACAAGCAGGGCTCTGGACACTATACTAAAGAGTTTTCACAGGCACATTTGGTGTCCACCAACTCACATGGGACCAAAGGAACTAAAGGAACATAGTCTCATTGATAAACTTTGGAGCAAGTTTTGGGTTTAGTTTTCTTCCTTTTGTCATAGCATAGGAGCTAATTGTCCTCTAATGTAACAAAGATAAATTGGAATCAGGCTCTGGCAAAGGCTTTTGGTTTTTTGTTTGTTTGTTCGTTTGTTTTAGGGAAGGAGTCTTGCTCTGTTGCCCAGGCTGGAGTGCAGTGGTACAATCTCGGCTCACCGCAACCTCCGCCTCCTGGCTTCAAGTGATTTTCCTGCCTCAGCCTCCCAAGTAGCTGGGATTACAGGCACCTGACACCACGCCTGGCTAATGTTTTTGTATTTTTAGTAAAGACGAGGTTTCACCATGTTGGTCAGGCTGGTCTTGAACTACTGACCTCAGGTAATCCACCCACCTCAGCCTCCCAAAGTGCGGGGATTACAAATGTGAGCCACGGCACCCAGCCCAAAGGTTTGTATTCAATCAACAAAACACTATACAAAAAAATAGGTAGTCCGGCATTGCCCTTCTTTCCAAAGCTCTCACTGCTGTGGGTTCATCCCCGCTAAAAAATGCTTCCTTTCTCCAAACCTCCCAACAATTGTCCTAAAGGAAAAAGCCTTAAACAAAAGCTCTCTCCTCACAGAATGTTAATTATTAGGTGACAGGAGTGTCAGCAGGTTCAGCTTCAGAGAAATGCTAAATCAGCGGCACACAAGTCCTTCCTAGTGCTATTCAGTTCTCCTTACGTTCCTGCACGCACCCTTCACCACGGGGTATCCACAGTCCTGTCCCTCAAAAGCCCCGGAATCACTCACCCCAGGCTGGCTGCAGATCCCACCCACAGGTGTGGGTTTGTCCTTCCTGCACTTCTGCTCTTTCCTCAAGGCCACGTGATGGGACGGACACCTGAAACATTTTTTGGGTGCTCCTGTTATTTGAATCGTTGTCTAAATGGGTTTGACATAACAAAGTTTAGAAACGTTTTAAAGAGAAGTGGCTGGGCATGGTGGCTCAAGTCTGTAATCCCAACACTTTGGGAGGCCGAGGCGGGCCGATCACTTGAAGTCAGGAGTTTGAGATCAGCCTGGCCAACGTGGCAAAACCCCATCTCTACTAAAATTACAAAAATCAGTTGGGCATGGTGATGCACACCTGTGATCCCAGCTACTTGGGAAGCTGAGGCACCAGAATTGCTTGAACTGGGAAGAGGTTGAGGTGAGTCGAGATCGCACTGCTACACTCCAGCCTGGGTGACAGAGCCAGACTCTGTCTCAAAAATAAAATAAAATAATAAATAAATAAACAGAAATAGGGAAAAGTGAGAGAAAAGATGGGTTCTGTCAAAAAAACAGTGATCCTGCATATGTCAGAGGGGACTCATGGTAAGCAAACGCTGGCCACGTGGAGGGCAGGCGTGGTGCCCGCTGCATTTGGGTGGCCCCATCAGAGACCCTGATGGCTGTTCATATTGTTGCCACCCTTCTATCTGGACATTTCTTGTAAGATCTTTCAATACTGCTCTAGACTTGTGTAAGTCATTTAGAATTTTTCATTTAGAATTAAAATTCTCTGTGACTAGACAGAAACAAAATGAGAACCAACCAACATAGGATCAGGGCTCTCTGGAGAGTCTCTTGGATTCTAAGGGAGGTATAGCTCAGGGGTGACCTATCAGAAAGTTTGTCTAAGATCTTTACTGCCCACTGGTGTTGCCAGGGAAACTGGCATGGTGGAAGTCAGCCCACGCTGAGCCTTATTAATAAGTAGCTCAGATTTGCTGTCACACACAAGGCGGGGGGACCACCATGACAAAGCAAGAAAGTGAACCCCAGTTATATGGACACAGCAAGGAGACAGTTAAGAACACTGGGGTAAGTGTAGAGGGCTGGTTCATGTTGAGATACAGAAAGAAAAATATCTTCCTTTAAACAAATCAACACCATATTCTTGCCATAGAGATAAGAAAAGTGGTGATGAACCAGCCCAAAGTAATCTCCAAGGGAGCCAGTCTTTTTGGAGATATGACAATCTACAAAGGCTTTCATTCCTCAACATTCTCCCTTCTGTGCCTTACAGTGCAGAGTGATGTTGATTTATTAAGCCAAAGTGAACTGAGGTTAATTTAATTTTGAGGATTTCTCAACATGCCTTCAGATAACTGGAGACGCTCTGGGATGTTGTGAAACTGAAGCTGGAAGTCCCTGTCGTCCCACAGATCTAGGCTGTGGGGCCAATTGATTGCCTCAGGGGGAGAAACAAAAGAAATACTAAGAAACCTCCTTTTTCAGGTGAAGGTAAGTAACAAGAAAAAGGATAAGCAAGTTTATTTAATAAATGATTTCACGACCTCCAAAATCCACCCTTCCAGCTTGCAGCTGTGGGGCTAATCCTGCCTGCTCCCGCCCAGGAGGGATGAGCCTGCTTGAGCCTGGGGCAGCTGCAGAATCAGACAGCTGAGAAAGGCCTAGGTACAAGCCTTCTGAGGTAAGTCAAGCAAGTTAGCACTTATCCTAAACAAAGAGTGCATACATGCACCAGTACTTGATTGAAGACAAATTTCTTTTTCTTTTCTTTTCTTTTTTTTGAGACAGAATCTCACTCTATTGCCCAGGCTTGAGTGCAGTGGCATGATAGCTCACTGCAACCTCTGTCTCCCCAGTTCAAGTGATTCTCCTGCCTCAGCCTCCCAAGTGGCTGGAATTACAGGTGTGTGCCACCACACCTGGCTGATTTTTTTATTTTTAGTAGACTCAGGCTTTTACCATGTAGGCCAGGCTGGACTAAGACTCCTGACCTCAGGTGATCTGCCTACCTTGGCCTCCCAAAGTGCTGGGATTACAGGCAGAGCCCTTGATTGAAGACAAATTTTTCTTTTCTTTTTTTTGAGATGGAGTTTTGCTCTTGTCACCCAGGCTGGAGTGCCATGGTGTGATCTTAGCTCACTGCAACCTCTGCCTCCTGGGTTCAAGCCATTCTCCTGCCTCAGCCTCCTGAGTAGCTAGGATTACAGGCAGCCACCACCACACCCAGCTAATTTTTTTTTTTTTTTTTTTTTTTTTTTTGTATTTTTAGTGGAATTGGGGTTTGGCCACGTTGGCCAGTCTGGTCTTGAACTCCTGACCTCATGATCTGCCTGCCTCAGCCTCCCAAAGTGCTGGGACTACCACACTCAGCCTGAAGACAAAGTTCTATAAACATTTCCTTCTGAGCAAATTTCAAGCCACAGCCTAGCTTTTTCCGATCGAGGAGAGAGATGAACAGAGATAATTGCACTCACTGGTTTTGCTTTGTGAGGTCATAATTTTTCATTATTTGCCAGAAGAAATAAGATACACATTGAGATGGAGAAGCTGTCTAATGTGAACACCACAGAGTTTGCAGCTCCGTCTCCTGTTAGAATGTCTGAAATTCTCTCGCTCTGAAATATGTTCCTTCCATGTCCCCGGACCAGGCTTTGCTGACAGCAGCTGGGGATGTTTTCAGTACTCCTCAGCTCAAGTCATCATCTATGACAGAGACAGGCTCTTTTTCATTGACGGAAGCTATAAAGCTGACCTCCTTACTGAACATCCTGATCTGTGCGTCCGATGCCAGGCAAGGCCCTGGGGGGAATGCAGAGGAACAGGACCCTGTTTCTGCCCGTGAGAAATTCACAGCTTAGTGGAGCAGCCGGGCACTGAGGCTCCTCACATGGTAGCTGCTCCTGAACTGAGGCCACGGTTGCTAGGCAGCTGGTTCAGAACAGTTATTCAAGTCAGGAAGTCAAGTCCTTCTTTTAGCTCTGCCCCTTGACATGTGAGATAAGTCACTTCTCTGAGGATCCTCTGCTTACAGTGTAATACATATAATTAGAGAATTACTTAACATCTCCCTATAATGAGCTGCAGTTACATATGCCTGAATATATTTTAATGATTCCAATTAAAAGGGAATACAATCTTGTTCCCAGGTCTTCCTGAGTAAAATCCAGGCACCCGTTCCCACCAGTCTTATAGGTCATTATTATATTTCTTTGGTGTCCTCCAAAATGGCATGACTAAATTCAGTCAGGATTTGTTGAGAGAATGAGCAAATGACTCAGGAGTCAATATTGGCTCCTCACGCTACCATGCCTAGCACTTAAACAACTGTGCCCTTCACGGTCATGGACATCTGTCCTTTTTGCCTGCTCAGCTTCCATTCCCCCTTTTTCTAGTAATAGCTCCTCCTTTGGCTTTGGGGAACTACCGCCACTTCCTGTTGGATACCATCATGGTGGTTCTTTTAACCAAATCTAAGCCAGGCTGGAAACACAACACCGGAAGTTCAGTCTTGAATGTTCTTGAGAATGGCCGGAGGTCAATGGAGGCTGCAGTATCCTGAAGAGATTATCCATTGGTTCCTTCTGCCTGGACCCCAGGCTCTGCTCTGGTTTCTGTCCTTTCTAAGCCTATATTTTCTGCTTTTCCTTTGTTTCTGTGGCCTACCTGCATATCGCCATGATGATGTATTTTTGCTTAAATTAATTAGAATTGGCTTCTGTTACTTATAATTGAAGTATTCTCCCTGTTACACAGAAAGTTCAGGTTATTAAAATGGGAAACCAAAATAGAAAAATAGGAATTTTGAAGCAAAAGAAGCTTTCAAAATTGGCTGGGCACAGTGGCTCACACCTGTAATCTCAGCACTTTGGGAGGCCAAGGCAGGTGGATCATAGGGTCAGGAGATTGAGACCATCCTGGCTAATACAGTGAAACCTGTCTCTACAAAAAATACAAAAAATTAGCCAGGTGTGGTGGTGTGCGCCCATAGTCCCAGCTCCTTGGGAGGCTGGGGCAGGAGAATTGCTTGAACCCATGAGGCGGAGGTTGCAGTGAGCCGAGATCATGCCACTACACTCCAGCCTGGATGACAGGGAGAGACTGTGGCTCAAAAAACAAAAAAACAAAACAAAACAAAAAAACAGCAAAAAAACTATTTAAACCCTTTCATTCGTTTCCCAGAAAATCTGACCCAGAGAAGTGAAGTGACTTAATGAATATCCTACTATTGGTTGGTAAAAGCCAAGCCTAGAACCCAGGAGCCCTTCCAGTTTCCTAGCCTATTTGCTGTCCTCAGATCTTCTCTTCTAAGGTTATTGCTGATAGCTACTTGCATGCTACTACAGTAGAGTTGAGTAGCTGTGACAGAGGGCATATAGTTTCCCACCTCTACAATATTCACAATCTGGCCTTTATAGAAAAATGTTGCCAACACCTGCCATACACCATACATACACACATAAACGAACGTATGACTGTGTTCCAGTAACACTTTCTTTATAGAACCTGAAATGCTAATTTCATAAAATTTTGAGTTTCTCAAAATATTATTTTGATTTTTTAAAGACATTTAAAAATGCAAAACTCATTCTTAGTTCATGGACTGTACAAAAATAGGCAGCAGGCTGGATTTGACTTACAGAATGATGGCATCCTGCACGCATCCCTGGTTTTAGCCAGTTTGAGTTAGGGTTTTTGCTACGTGCAATGAAATATGACTTAACTGATAAAGTCATCCATACATTTATTGCTCATCTATTACATGTAAGGCACACAATAAGGAATAAGACACAATTCCTTCTCCCAAGGACTCAATAATCTAGTTAGGTGTTCAAGGGCTTCCACAATAGTTGTCAACATTTATTCAGCACTTATAACAATGTGCTGATTGCCTTGCCCCTTAGATGAGTTATCTCATTTAGTATTTTTGTTTTTTTTTTTTGAGATGAAGCCTCGTTCTGTTGCCCAGGCTGGAGTGCAGTGGCGCAATCTCGGCTCACTGCAACCTCCGCCTCCTGGGTTCAAGCGCCTCCTGCCTCAGCCTCCTGAGTAGCTGGGACTACAGGTGCATGCCACCATGCCTGGCTAATTTTTTGTATTTTTATATTATTTATTTATTTTGAGAAGCAGTTTTGCTTTTGTTGCCCAGGCTGGAATGCAATGGTGCGATCTCAGCTCACAACAATCTCCGCCTCCCAGGTTCTAGCAATTCTCCTGTCTCAGTCTCCTGAGTAGCTGGGATTACAGGCATGCACCACCATGCCCAGCTGATTTTGTATTTTTAGTAGAGACAGGGTTTCTCCATGTTGATCAGGCTAGTCTCAAACTCCTGACCTGAAGCGATCCACCCGCCTCGGCCTCCCAAAGTGTTAGGATTACAGGCGTGAGCCACTGCACCTGGCCTTTTTTGGATTTTTAGTAGAGACGGGGTTTCACCGTGTTACGCAGGATGGTCTCAATCACCTGACCTCATGATCTGCCCACTTCCGCCTCCCAAAGTGCTGGGATTTGTGCTAAATGAACCTGCCTTACACTGTGATCCCATTGTCTGCCATCTGCCTGCTCCTGCCCAGTCCTCCACAGACCAGAGGACTTCTGCTGAAATGCTGCTCTTCCCTCTGTCCCAAGTCTTTGAATATCCCAACCATCAACTTTTGAATCTCCTCTTCTTTCTTCTAGGCACTCATAGCACCTAATGTCTAGTTACTCACCTTGAGCGTATAGTGTTGATCGTCATTTAACTTTTTCTGTGTTTGTTCTCTCTCCCCAAGCTATACTACAGTGTCAAGGGCAAGAACGTTCCTCGGCCTCTTTGGTAACCCTTGGGGACAAATACCCAGGCAACTCAAAGTTGAAACAAACTATAAAAAGAATGAGATGAAAGAAGAGATCAGGCAGCTAAAGAAACAATTAAGGACCAGGAAATCATCACCTTCTATAAATGAGAAAAAAAAACAAAGGCACAAAAAAGCCCAGCCCCCAAAATGAAATGAACACATCAGGGAAATACTTGAGGTAATTCAAGTTAAAACAGAGGGGAAAAACAACAATTAAAGCAACTATCAAGAAAGGAATAGAAATAGAAGGTAAATTGATATCCAACCCTGAAACAGAAGCCACCTCTCTACCCTAAAAGATAGAATTGAAAAAATATTTGAGGACATAATACAGAAAAACTTTTCCAAACTCAAAGAACACTTGAATCTTCCGATTTAAAAGGCCCACTAAGCAGGGCACAGTGGCACTCACCTGTAATCCCAGCTACGTGGGAGGCTGATGCGGGAGGGTTGTTTGAGCCCAGTAGTTCAAGATCAGCCTGGGCAATATAGCAAGACCTTGTCTCAAAAAATGAATAAAATAAAATAATAGGGCCCACTCTAGGCCAGACCAGGTCTGGATAGTTAAAAAAGGAGTGAGAGAGAGAAAGAGAGAGAGAGAGACAGGAGGTAGGGAAGGAGGAGGGAGGGAGGGAGGGAGGGAGAAGGAAGGAAGGAAGGAAGGAAGGAAGGAAGGAAGGAAGGAAGGAAGGAAGGAAGGAAGGAAGGAAGGAAAGAAAGCAGGCAGGCAGGCATTTGAAACTAGGGAAATTTGCTATAGATCCATCAATGAGATTCTTGGCTGGGTGCGGTGTCTCACACCTGTAATCCCAACACTTGGGGAGGCGGAGACAGGTGGATCACTTGAGGTCACGAGTTTGAGACCAGCCTGACCAACATAGTGAAAACCTGTCTTTACTAAAAATTAAAAAAAAAAATTTTAATGGCTGGGCATGGTGGCTCACGCCTGTAATTCTAGCACTTTGGGAGGCTGAGGCAGGTGGATCATGAGGTCCAGAGTTCAAGACCAGCCTGGCCAAGATGATAAAACCCTGTCTCTACTAACAATACAAAAAAAATTATCCAGGCATGGTGGCAGGTATCTGTAATCCCAGCTACGCAGGAGGCTGAGACAGGAGAATTGCCTCAACCCAGGAGGTGGAAGTTGCGGTCAGCCAAGGATCACGCCACTGTATGCCAGCCTGGGCAACAGAGCGAGATTCTGTCTAAATAAATAAATAAATACATTTTTAAAAAATTAGCTAGGTGTGGTGGCATGCACCTCAGCTACTCGGGAGGCTGAGACAGGAGAATTGCTTGAACCTGGGAGACAGAGGCTGCAGTGAGCCAAGATCATGCCACTGCACTTCGGCCTGGGTGACAGAGCGAGACTCCATCTCAAAAAAGAAAAGAAAAAAGCTTACTCAACAATGAAATACAACCAGTCAAAAAAAAATTGGCCAAATTAGACAACTAGTAATGTGAAAAATCTTGATAAAAGTACTAGCAATAAACACTGAATTCAATTAAATATAAAATGAGGACTAGACCTCTGGAGAAATAAATAGATGCAAATCAGAATGTAGATACTATAAAGTCAAACAAGTTAAAAATTATAGAAGCATCAAAAATTGGGAGAGGGGAAGAAGCAAGAGAGCACTGTCGTCTTATTACCCGGCAGGAAGTCAGTCCAAACCACCCACCCAACCTTTCAGTGAATTTTCATCATCTATTATGTTGTTCTAATCTTGGGATGATCTAGAAACTAATAGGTCTTGTCACTCAGGAACTAATCTTTGAAGTTTATTCATTTCACCTGAGTTCCTTTTTTCTGTTAAGTTCTGGTAAAACCAAACCTAAGGTTTTTAATTATTTTTAACAGCATGTATAATATGATCATGTTACAATAAAATTATTTGTGACCTCTCCTGCTTTCTCAATGGTAATTGTAACAATAGCTAATTCTTTTTATGGGCTCACTATGTGTCAACAGTATCTTAAGAACTTGACATGTATCTACAAATTTAATCCTCATAAAACTTTATTTCTTTTTTGAGACAAGATGGAGTGCAGTGGCATGACCACAGCTCACTGCAGCCTCTACCTCCTGGGCTCAAATGGTTCTCCTGCCTCAACTTCCCGGATATTTGAGACTACAGGTGCACACTGCCACACCCAGCTAATTTTTTAAAAATATTTTTTGTAGAGATGAGGTTCTGCCATGTTGTTCAGGCTGGTCTTGAACTCCTGGGCTCAAGTGATCCACCCACCTCGGGCTCCCAAAGTGCTGTGATTACAGACATCTGCCACCGTGCCAGCCCCCCACATAAGATTTTTAAGGAGTAGACAACCTCATCACCTCTGCTTAATAGGTAAGAAAACTAAGGAACAGAGATGTTTGCTATGGGTCACACAGATAGTACATGGCAGAGCTAAGAGCCCGACCCAGGGATTCAGGCTCCAGGGTCTTTGCAGTTTTTGCTCTCAACCATCACCCTGGATGGCAAAAAAGACCAGCCCCCAAAGATCAGCCTCCACAAGTGGGTAGGTAGGACATTGGTTGCTTTCTTTGTACTTGAATATTTAAATGATGATCATATGTCATTTTTAGAAAGTCATTACCAAAAAACAAAAGAGCCTCTACTTGGAAAACAAGATGAATATTCCCCAGGCCAACAAAACAGAGGCTAAACCATCCTGACCCTCTAACTAATCTAGGCAGGGTGCAGTTAAGAGAATTAACTCCTGGCTGGGCGCGATGCCTCATGCCTGTAATCCCAGCACTTTGGGAGGCCCAAGATAGGTGGATCACGAGGTCAGAAGTTCAAGACCAGCTTGGCCTAGGTGATGAAACCCTGTCTCTAATAGAAATACAAAAATTAGCCAGGCATGGTGGCAGGTGCCTGTAACACCAGCTACTCAGGAGGCTGAGACAGAGAATTGCTTGAACCCAGGAGGTGGAGGTTGCAGTGAGCCAAGATGGCGCCACTGCACTCCAGCCTGGGCGACAGAGCAAGACTCTGTCTCAAAAAAAAAAAAAAAGAGAGAGAGAAAGAATTAACTCCTTTACTACTAGAATAGGCTTTAGAACAATAGTAGCCTGCAATTTTAATGATAATCATTGCAAAGGGTGACTCAAGATTCAAAAGAGCATCTGTGTTTTATTGGCTCTAGGCAGATTAGCTGGAGGAAACAAGCTTCCCTAAGGAATCACCTCTGGGAGAGAGGAAAATATGCAATAAAAGAAGAGGTCGAAGAAGTCCCAGGTGTACGCAGTCAGCATCCAGGTTACTCTATCTCTGAGCAATTTGCTGGACTGACACAGCTTCATTTTAAATGACATAACATAACCATCGTGATTCATCCTGCCGTCCAAGGGCTATATAATAAGCGTGGTAATGGGGGAGCATCTCCCAGGAGGGTACAGGAACAGCTGTGTGTGTCACCTGGGAATGGCACCCACCTATAAATCCCATCTCTTTGACAATGATTCTAAAGTCCTCCTGTCACTGTCACTCACCCGCAAAATTAATGACTAAAGGGGAGAAGGAGAGGAAATGCCTCGCCCCTGAAATAGAGAAAGAAAGACTGAGAGAGGGACCGAGCAAGTTAATAAATAAAACAAGAGCCTGAAGGGAAGAGCTGCTTTGTCAGAATATAAATATTTCCCTTCCCCTTTTATCTTTAATGTAGTGTGAGAAGCTTATTAAAGGGAAATGCTTCTCCGTCCCTGGAGCCCTCGCACAAGCCTTGCGGGGAGCTGCCTGCAGAACGGGGTCGCCTAGCCCCACGCTTCTAAACTCTTCCCTGCTGGAAGTGAGCGTAATGTGCAGAGCAATAAAGAAGGTCTGGGGAGGAAAGGGAAGCCATTGTGGCTATTAGGATCCTTATCTTGATGGGCCTGGTGTCAGGTTATGTTAATCGCTGGAGATGCTGGGAGACTGAGGATGAGCAGTGCCTGTCTGCCCAAAGGCTTGGCCTGAGATTCCAAGGGAGGCCAACATTACTAGACTTACCCTCTGCTCCGTTAGAGAGAAGAACATCCAAATTTAGACAAAGGGGAATTTGCCTGACGGGGTGTGGATGGGGAGTCCTGTGGGTGTTCCTCTGAGGAGCCCTTGGTGGCTATACATCTCACAACTCCAAGAAAACAGCCAGCACAGGCAGTCCCAGCACACCACCCACAGAAGACTATTCCAAAAGCACGGAAGACATCTGCCCTCCTCATCTCCTTCCTAAGACCCCTAAAAGGATGGGCCATAAAGGGCCTACATACCAAGTCAGGTCAGCACAGAGCCTGGCACTTGGTAGGTGTGCAGTAAGTCTGAATGACGTGGCACAGAGGCTGTGCTGGGCTCATTTGCCACTGTATCTTCGGATTCACACACAGGGCCTGGCACACCTGGTTTTGGGTGGATGAATGAACACATGCATTTAGACACAATGAAGGCATCTCCTTTGCTGTTATGTTTGCTGCCTCTTCAAAGGATCATTGTATCTGGTCAGGATTTGGGTCCTGCTGAGCTTTGAAGCTACCATGTCATTGCTGGCCTTTTGGAGATATTCAGCCATGTGGTTATACAAGGATAAGCCATCTATCCATCAGGTGCCAGTCTAGCCAAAGGCTGGGGGTCGGGGATGGAGAGAACAGCTAAAACTTTCTGCCAAAATGTGCTACTCCTTCATTCTCCTTGGCTGAGACCTCCCAGGGGAGCAGGCCCTGGTTGCTTTGCTACCGTACACCCCCCGCCACACACCCATGCATTTCTATTTCTATAATGTAATCAATGGAGAGAACAGAAATGATTTTAAGACTGCATTTCTAAGTCTCTTTTTTGCTCAGACCAGGGTATGCATTTAGCAAGGGTCTACTGCCATTTCAAATCCATTAGGCACCACATAATCATTCCTGCTGCAGAATCTGCTCTGCATCCCCAGTCAGGCACTCCATCCTACCCATTTTGATGTCTCTTGGGGTCTCAACCTCAATAATTTTGTGTGTATGGTTCCCCTTCCCACTGAAACTCATTCGGTTGGAATAAAGACTCAGAGAGCTCAAGTCATTACCAATCAGAGAGCTCAAGTCATTGCTATTTCCCTGCACTCACCACTTTGAAGACCAACGACATCATATGGCAATGTCCGTGTTACAGGGAAGTGTATAATTCAGGGATGGTGAGCCATTCTTAGCTGGTTCCTAGGGAATTCCTTGTCCAGGGTTCTAAACATTACCTGCAAACAACTGGCAATACCTGATTTAACATTCCACTTCTGACATAAACCCCATCTAGCCTCCCCATGGTCTCAGCCGTATTGGGGGCTTAGAACCTTGAGAGGGCCTATTTCCAGTGTTCCCACCAAGAGGGTGGGGGAGGAGGCGTGGGGGCGGAGTGGCACACATATATCTGAGGGGCGGCTGTGTGGGAGAGGGATTAAATTTGTACTGTGAAGATCAATGAAAGCCTTGGGGAGGCAGATTTCA